ATTATGCTAAATATCATGTAATATTACATTGTGTGTGTCCTTTGCTGTCCTTAGATTCCACTAATGAATTGTAATGAATTGTAAATCACCAACATGTATTAAAATGTGTTTTCCTTCTATTGAGTTCTTTATCACACTCCCTGAACTCAGTTTTGTGCTTAATGTGCTCATGATAATTCTAAGCTATCTAATCTAATGAAATATTGTATTCAAGTATTCCTGGATGAATGTCGTTATCTATTTATTCTGGGTCTTTTTGCAGCCTAAATAAATTTGGTTTAATAGTTTATGGCAAAGAAAAAAAAGAAAAACCTTTTTTTGTCATAAAACCGACACAAGCACTAGCTAGATTAAGGATAGTGAGTTAAAGCCATCTTTCCCCTATAATTATATATTTTTTATGGTGACCAGACGTCCCCCAACCCGAAATTACAATGTAAATTAAAATGTACAATGTGCCAACATAACCAGTTGGTTTTCAGAGCAATCGTGTCGTTATTATTTTCACCAAAAGAGGGCGCTGAAAGCTACACTGATTACTTAGTGCGCCGCTACTTTATCCATGAAGAACTTTACCTGGATGAGAACAGAGAGCCTACAACCTTTAGCCAAAAATCGCAATGTCTATGCCAGGGGTCACCAAACTCTGTCCTGGTTGGTCCGGGGACAGAGTTTGGTGAACCCTGGTGACCTAAGACCTTGATTAGCTGGTTCAGGTGTGTTTAATTGGGATTGGAGCTAAACCCTGTAGGACTCTGGCCCTCCAGGACCGGGTTTGGTGACCCCTGGGCTATGCTAATGCCGTGGCTTTGGTGGTACACAGGGAAGGAGACCAGAGATCATTGTAAGATTGGCTGAGGTGCCTCACGTGATCCAAGTTAGCCGTTACACTTTTTCCAATGGTAAGTATACAGACCGTCGCATCTCCCAATAATAAGACTGTTTTTATTTTTATTTTATTGTAAGTTTTTTTGTTGTTGATGCAGAGTAAATAATTTTATTCAGAAAGTTTTATGGGATGATACATAGATAAAACTACTTCACAGAGCCTGGTTTTAAGATGGCATTTTGTTTGAAGGCACATATGTAGTTTTTCTTGGCGTAACAAGAATCGTCATTCCATCTTCCAGTCTCTGAAAATGTGAGGGACAGTGAAATGAAGAGATTATTCTACCTTCTGCAGTGTGTCTTACCAAATATTTAAAAGTCCTCACAGCATCAATATCACTGTAATAAATCATTTAGCAAAACATGTAGTTTTTGAATGTGAAAATTGAATGTGATTATCCTATAGCCCATTAGTGTCTCTCTGTTCTTACCTTTCCAGTTCATCTCAACGCATTCCTCCGAGCTAGTGTACATGTGGTTGGGCTCACCACGTTTAAAAATTTGAAAATCCCAGAAGGATCCATCAAGGCAAAATTTTTTTACCAGACTGAGAGAAAGACAAAGATATTTTAAAGAAGAGAAAATTACGAAAGAAGGACAGAAAAGGTGTTTCTATAGTTAGTGAGAAACTATAGTGCGTGCATTTAATTGAAAAACAGGAAATAACAACAACTCAATAATTTAACGCCTTCACACTTCCGCCTTTTTTACCTTAAAGGAGACATATTATGCCCCTTTTTACAATATGTAATATACGTCTCTGGTGTCCCCAGAATGTGTCTGTGAAGTTTCAGCTCAAAATACTCCACAGATCATTTATTATAACATTTTGAAAATGCCTATTTTAAGTGGAAGCAGAAACACTCTGCAGTCTGGGGCTGCAGATTTTGGCTGCAGCCCCACTAAATCCATACCAATGCGGCTGAAGGGTACTTCAATAATGGGCAGCGGCACAAGTGGGCTGGGGGGAGGGCAACAAGGAGAGGTGCGCTGGCAGGTTGGACAGCTCTGACTGAACCGTTTCACCGCCGCTTCCATTGCCGGCCAGTGAAATCGATCTTGAATCCGCTGCATGGTGTTAGCTACTCCCAGATGTCCTGCCATCGGATGCGAGTGCGCCAGCTCGATCACTGTCTCGGTCTTGAAGTTCCTGGGGAAAAAAGTTCCTGGTACAATTGTTCCAGGTAATTTCGGTGGAAACGCGGCTCTAGTGGGCAAATTATTATTTATCAGTTTTTTTTCATCTAGTTACCTATGCAAAATACCATGGTCAAAGACAAAGAGTCGTAACCTTTCCCTCCAAAAGTTTAAGTCACCATTGGCTCACTGACCCCCTGGAGGTGCGGCCTCCATCTCTCTTCTTCTGAGCGCTTACCTCCTTGCCTCTTGGACATCCAGTCCGACCATGACCTGCGGGACCTCCCCATTGCCGGTAGGACGTCAAAGTTGCAGCAAGCCATGTTGCAACTTTTCACCTGGAAGAGAACTCTCCCAATCACCACGAGTCAGAGTAACATCTTTGTAGTTCATTACTCTTCAAACTCGGAAGAACGTGATCACAATTCCAACACCACCAAACCTTCAAACCATCAAGACTTTCATCTGAGACTGCATCTGGACACTCATTCAATGGCAAGTTTCATACATTTAACTAAACGAAACAGAGGTTTAGTATACAGTGCAGATGGATTCAGGGCAGGGCTCGACAATCAGGACTGCCCGATGGCCCGGGGCCAGTGTGAAAGACGCTTGGGACAGTAGACGGATTTGTCACTTGGCCGATCGGGCCACTGCAGCGTCATCACGACATTTTATCATTTGCATGTGTTTTTAAGACTTGTTCATTTAAAAATTCAAGCAATTAAAAAGTATTTGGGCGTGAAAGACAACTCCTTTCAGTACTCGCGCGCTGTGTTCTGTGTGAACACGCAGCGTCTCTGACACGCAAGAGACCCTTGAACGGGCAAATACATACAAAAGTATGTCAAAATACCCGTCCTGGCAAGTAACTTTGCAGCTTTAACAATGATTAATCTATATTGAATTTATACACTGGAGTACAGATGCACCGATCTCTAATGGACATTTTTTGTTTTATTTCAGACTATCTTCTGTTCGGTGCTTGCACACAAACTGCACTGCAATCATTTTCCCAATGGCCATTAGTATGGAAATATTATTATTATACTTAGTCTGTAAACGGGCATTAACAGAGGCCAGAGATGCTGAAGACGGACACAAAGAGGAGAATATTCTGTGTAGCAGACAGAACAAGACAACTGTTCAGGATGCGCGAAATATAGGAAGAAAATCCAAACATTGAATTTTGTATGAATGTGTTTCTGAGGGGAACGGAACTGACTGTTTTCAGAAATGGCGTTTTCTTTTCATTTTGTCTCCGTATGATGAATTTAAATTAGTGTTAATATGCGCCTGTGTTTACAATGGTAACCAAGGAAACGCTGTATCACTGTTCCATGAGCGCCACCTGCTGTCAGAGAGTGAATCTGCGTCTCATTCAGCCCCACCTGCTGTTTCTGTTTCATACAGATGTTTTATGTAGCATAATTTCACAAAGCTAAAGTCAGGTTATTCTGTTTTTGCTTCAGATTTTGAAATTATACAGTCTTATATAAATCAAACATTGCTCTTTTTTTCAATTCATGATTAAAATGCAGTGGTCACCTCTAATTTCAAATGGCTATGAAAAATCAAGGTGCAACACAGAGTGAAGAATATGCAAAAGTTATTTTGTATGTGATTTTTCAATTTCTGTACCTAAACATAAAAACCTAAAGCATCATTTAATTTCTATGTTTGAGCTATAGGCATATTTTCAATTGTGCTATTACTTTTATTTCAAATTATTGCTATTACAAAAGTTAGTATTTTACCACACCAGACAACGAAACCACTAGATCTTGTGGTTACAAATACAGTTGTGACCACTCAGTATCAAACCTGACAGCCAAAGTTGCTGGAGCTCACAATCTAAACACTTCATAGACTTGGTTACTGTACACATGTTTGCTAATCAGATATCTAGTCTAGACTGATGTGTACATTTTAGCACAGGGCGACAACATAAAATGTGAACACACAATGTGACACACAATGAGTGTAAAAGTTTTTATTGCAGATTTTACTTGATAATTTTTATGCCAGCCGTACTATATCTCTTTAATTTTCACAACCCCTCCTATTTCTCTCACATTTTTTCCACACGTTTTACTATCACATCTTACTTTCAGAGTTATTTCTAACACGCCTTTAAAAAATGCAGCCTCATGATAACACAAAAGCTGCATTTATTATACATTTATAGGAACAGGTCATAGTTTTTTTCCCACTGGTATTATAAAGAGATTCAGATTATAAACCCCTGCTAGATCTGAGACAAAGGACATTGCCTCAAAGATTATTACAGCACACTACAGACATTACAACACACTCTAGTCTGATATATAGAGAAATTAGGTACTCTAGCTACATGCACCCAAATAATCCATTTAATCGGACTGATGGCTCAATCTGACAGAAAAGCTTTCATGTCAACACCTCAGCTGATCCAACTGAGGTCGATCTGAATGAAATTTCATTTGAAATGGGAAATAATCAAGAAAATAATCAAGACCAGAAATAATCAACAGGAAAAAAAAGTTCTGAATGCAGCGATTGGTCACTCCATATGCGCTGAAGTTTTGTTCGGAATACATGTTATGTAACAATATGTGAATCGTACTGTAAAGTTTAGGGTTCAAACAGAACTTTCAGAATCTGAAATTAGTTTCTAATTAGGAAATTAGTGCATGTAAACATACCTACTGTGGTGTCTCCACTTTTATGCAAAAAAAAAAAAAAGTAAAATGTTCATGCTGCCCTGAAATTTTAAGTTTAGTCAATTTCCTTAAGATCCAGAAAAGTTATTCTAAAACTAAATTTATTTGTGATTGCTAAGGGCCACAAATACCATGCCAGCAGGCCCCAAAGCAACTTTGAATTTGAACAGGGACTAGAATACATGACCGAAAAAAACACACATACAGCTGCATAGCTACATTTGGGTGTATGCTATACAATCACATGAAATATTAAATATTTTTAACTAATTGCTAGTTAAGGCCATGCAAACACTATGAGTATACATAGCAGAATTTGAGTATTTACTTACTATTTAATACTATTATTTACAAAATATAGTAATATTTTTGATCAGTCAGGCAAATAATACATATTGACTGATTGATTTTGATTTTGAGATGTTTAAGATTGGGGCCATGGTTATAGTTAAAATAATCTTTATGTTTAAGGCAAATGTAAAATTAGGGGGGAAAGTTCAGTTGATAGCCTATGGAACCGTTTTGTGTTTGTGTGTGTGTGTGTGTGTATATATATATTGGTCTACACTGTTCTTTGTGGAAGGATCTAGGATTAGTGAAAAAAAATAAATAAAGATTATGACTGGAATGAAGAACTTTGAATTAATTTGTTTTTTCCAATCCTTCCCCAAGTGCCGTGACCAGCACTTTTAACTATAACGATCAATGGAAAATGCTCCGGAGTCGTTGGAGAACTTCTCATCAGTTTTGATTGAATGCTGGCTGTGGTCTCTGGTCCTGTACAATGAATTATTGCTCTGAATATGTGAATCTGATACCTAGAAACAGAGCAAGAGAGAGACAAAGATTATTTTCATTTTCATCATAATTATAGATAGATGTAATGCTGTTGTTGACTTGCTTAAATGCAAACCTCTTCAAATTTCTTGGCCTTGTATTGGTCAGCTCCTTTCAAGAAGTTCAACAGAATGATGTCACAAAGCACTGTACCCTAAAATAATGAACATTAAGAAAAAGTCCACTGAAACTGGTCCTCATACACTGTATTATTCTGATATTTAATCTTCTGATATTTAAGATGTTAACAATTATGAATTATTTTCTGTTGTAAATAATTTCAGTATTACACATGAACAATAATAAACAACACATTTATATGCATCCATATATCATGCTTTCATGGAAATGGATGCTAATGTTTAAAAATATCAGTAGAAAAAAACTTAATGCATCTCCAAATGCACTTTAATTAATGATAAAACTGGTTGGTTAAGTTGAGGATGAAGATAAAACTGATGTCATGGAAGTTATAGTTATATAAAAACATAAATATATATTATACAAAAATACTGGCATGTGGTTCTCTGAGACGTTACCTGGTTTCCATAAAATGTCTCCATTACACAAGTAAATTATGTCTATACTGATCGATCTTTCCTGAAGATCTGGGGCCAGTCGGGCGGTTTGCTCACTTCTCACTTGGATCACATTTCAGATGATTTAACATATTTTCATTATTTGATTTATGCTTACATTGGTCAGAACTATGGTAAAAGTGTTATGCTTAGTAACTGGCAGGACAGACCAGGACTATCACACACATGCATTATTATTATTATTTTTATTATTATTTTTTTTTTGCAGACTCTGGTACCATATTTGCTTGAATTGACTGACATTTTCATGTTTTCTTAAGAAGGCTGTATGCCAAAAATGTGCACTGAATAAGTCAATATGTATAAAAAACTTGAACAATTTGGATTGTTCATTATATTTACAACGAGTCGTGTATTGATCCCAACACTGAACCCCCCCCCCCCCCCCAGATATTTATTAATATTTTTAATATATTCATATAAATATTTTATTAATATTATTAAGTATAATCTACTTAACTTTATGACATAATATGGAATGAAGTGGTTTTTGACTAACATTATGCTGCAAATCAACAGTGCAACATGAAGTGACCAAACTAGATTTCATTATAACCAATTAAATCTTAAAATAAATCTTAACTTAAAACTTAACTCGAAGCAAATATCTGAATTTTACTAAAGCTACTGTTTATGTCTGTGGCAGCAATGGATCTCGAATTATTATGGTTGCACCACTTAACTACTTTCTAGTTCTGTTTATACTGAAGTTGATTTTATTGTCACATTTAGTAGCTAGACCTGTTTTGTGACTTTTGGAGTTAGTCCATTTTCTATATAATGTTAATGCACAGAATCTATTTATGAAAACACATACCACACCAACAGAGGTGAAGGCAGCAACCATGTTGATCAGAGTTGGGATCATGTCAAATTTTCCCGCCTTTAAAGAGAAGATGTCATGAGCAATTATAAACACACTTGCACAGAAGTGTGAAACTCAAAAATACACAAACATGTTGTATTTTTGATGAACTCACATCTCCATTAACCAGCACATCAAATCTGATGGCGTAGGCTTTCAACAGAGTGCGATACTCGGTTCCGTTCTCCATTTTAAAATACTTTGCGTACCTAAGGACAAAGATTTATACATGTTAGCAAGTAGGGATTTCAGTAAGGATTATCCAACCTGTCAGCCTTTTTGTAATAGATTCCAGTATGTGGCCACTATAAAAGTTTGGCACGTAACAGATCTGAACATCAAGAATTAGCTTTGTGATAAACATGTGAATGAAGTATGTGCATTTGGTTGCACAGTATCATTAGAGCCGTGAAGAGTCTTCATTCAACTTTAAGGTGGAAAGAAAAGCTTCCAGAACCTGAAGTTGTATCCTGGAGACACAGTGGTCTTCTCTGACATGGCGTCCAGGCGAGTGAAGGAGTAGGCTGGCTTGCACTCATCCTCTGCCTTGTCTAAATCACACACCCACGCTATTTTTATCCCTATCACTCCCCCCTGAGAGAGAGAGAGAGAGAGAGAGAACTTACACAAATCCAATTTGATATTGCACTTAAGGAGAAATAAAGATAATGCAATTTTTTTTAGAAAAAAAAGTTTTTTTTTATACAACACTTATTAGATACTTTTATAATACAGTTATTATTTAATACAACATGTATTTCTTTGTCTTCTTTTAAACTATTTCCATTGGTGGAGGTAAACATTATGAACTAACCGGCCAAATTACTTGTAAAACTTATGTTTATCAAACTTATTTATAGAAATGTTGTATAGAAGCAATTTAGCAATCACAAAAAAAAATAAATAAATAAAAAACAGTCTGACTCGTAACCCAAAGGTTGCGGGTTCAAGTCTCGTACCGGCAGGGATTGTAGGTGGGGGGGGAGTGAACGTACAGCACTCTCTCCCACCTTCAATACCACGACTGAGGTGCCCTTGAGCAAGGCACCGAAACCCCAACTGCTCCCCGGGCGCCGCAACAAAAAAATGGCTGCCCACTGTTCCGGGTGTGTTCACGGTGTGTGTGTGCACTTTGGATGGGATAAATACAGAGCACATTCCGAGTATGGGTCACCATACTTGGCCACATGTCACGTCACTTAATCACTTAATTTGATTACAGTAAGAAAGCAAGGGGGAAAATGTAACCAAAAAAAATCCAAATTTAAAAATAATTAAATGAACACTCACTTTTTTAGCAAGAGTAGTAAAGTCCTGTTGTGCAAATCGGATCACATCTCCCACTTTGAATATTGGACAATACATGTTACTCTCAAAGTCAAAATTACACTGCTTTATGTAAGAATTATTGATGTTGGGCAAGAAATTTCCCCTGAAAGGAAAAGATAAATATTTAATAATAATTATTTTTTTTTAAAACATTAGAAATGCAGATATTATTATGAAACAATTTGTCTTTGTGTTTGGTTGCCATTACTTTGTGAAGTTAAAACGTGGGAAGCGAATGCTGTTCTTGATGAAGATGGTAAAGTTCTCCACCTCCATCATGGGGTCTCTGAGTAAGAAAAAACTTCATCAGTCCTTTTATTCAACCATTCACACATCTATTCATTTGTTCATTTACAAGAGGACTCACGGCTGAATTTCATCAATCTCTGCGGGACACCATCCTTTGATCTCGCAGGCTTTGTGGGTCTCACTGAAGTTCACACATCGTCCTGTCAGCAACCCTTGAGAAAAAAACAATGGAAAAGAACATAACATATAGAACAGGGCTGGCCAAACCTGTTCCTGGAGGGCCACAGTCCTGCAGATTTAGCTCCAACCCTAATTAAATACAGCTGAACCAGCTATTGTCCCAATTCAGAGGTGGCATCTTTTAAAGGCTACTTTCAAATGACCGAATTCCCTTACGGCAATGAAGCATACAACACATGAATCCTTCATCTTCGTTGCGCACTAGTGACAATGGGTTTTTTTTTTTTGAGAGAAAATGCCGGATTACACTTTTAAATTTAGTATTGGGATTCAAAAAAAAAAACTTGCAATCTTTCTAAGATAGATATAGACAGTTCCTACTTTTTATTATGTACATAAATAGACCAGTGCAAACATATTTAGACAGGTTGTGAACCCTGTTTAACTTTCTGTTGAAAATAAAAAAAGAACAATTCTCTACAGGCTAGACGGTCCCACACAGCTACTAAAAGCTTCCAAGCAAGTATGTTGAAACTGGTTGGAGCTAAACCCTACAGGATGTTAGCCCTTCAGGAGCAGGATTGGACACCCCTCATATAGACCTTACTGTGATGATTTTGAGCTGTGCACAAATAGACCATTAAGGGGGTAAAATTCTAATGAATTTATATTTTTATAATGTCACTAGGTTTTCCTTGACCGTTTCAGGATCACAAAACAATACACAATGAAACGCTAAGATTAAATAAAAAAGAATTCACAAGTATTCCTTATTATTTGATCCTTCAAAAAATTCATAAAGACTACAAAGAAGATAAAAGAAAATCTTACCATTGCTAGGTGGTTTTGACATCAGCTTCTTACAAGTACTGTCGCTCTCACATTTGAATTTCAACTCATTCTGAAGAGTTACATGTACAAACACATGAACACACACAGAGGCAAGAACCTATCAAATTCGTGTACATTAATCTTGACAGATTTCAGTGTCCTCACTCACCTCTGGACAGTGTCCTTGAACTTGATTTTCTGTTGTGATGAGCTTAGTGATTACGCAGAACACTGATGCCCCCTGGCACACACACACACACACACACACACACACACACACACACACACACATCATAGAACCCACAACCTTTGGGTTATGAGTCCGACTCTCTAACCATTAGGCCACGACTCCCCCAATGTTCAGGTTCATGATCAGATCAAAGATCATGTATCTATGATTAAAGAATCTATACTTACCCAAAAATGCTTAAAACAGTAGAACTAACAGTCATATGACAAACCAATGACCAGATCAGTATAACTAATTACAGTGAAGAAGACTTGAGTGACACTGAATTTAACTCATCTACAAGGTATAAATGTACATGTATCTTTCTGTTCAGGAGTCTCTCTTGGTTGTTGTGACCAGTGGGCTCCCGGCCGTGAATAAACTTTTACTCCTGCAAAGAGCAACTTGGGAGTGGTGTCTGGTATATGCTGCACAGCTGAGGAATACAAGGCACCGCAAAGACAGAAGACTATAGAGCCGTTCTAGGGCTGAGGCTAATACTCTGAGTTAGTATTAAAGATCCTGTGTCGGACCAGTGTACAGCTGAGAAAGACGGTGAGAGTGTATAGTTGCTAAAGACCTGTGTGCTCATGTGTGATTGAGGTAGTGATCGTAGCTTCTTGACAGGATGCTGTCACAATACTTCAGGGAAGTACTGTATTGTAAGTATTCGGGGAATTCAGGGATTAGTTCGAGATACTGTAGTTATTATATTAGCAACTGGTAGTTGTTTGAACTGTCTGTGGTGAAGTCAGATTTGTATTGGGAATTTCCACGACAAGAGCCAGATGTGATACAGAAGCCAGAGACATCATAGAACATTAACTTGTAAAAAGCCACTTTTTGTGTTGTCTATTCCACACCCGTCTGTAGCAATAATTCATCTTTTAATTATTAATTTGCCGTTCTAGGGCTGAGGCTAATACTCTGAGTTAGTATTAAAGATCCTGTGTCGGACCAGTGTACAGCTGAGAAAGACGGTGAGAGTGTATAGTTGCTAAAGACCTGTGTGCTCATGTGTGATTGAGGTAGTGATCGTAGCTTCTTGACAGGATGCTGTCACAATACTTCAGGGAAGTACTGTATTGTAAGTATTCGGGGAATTCAGGGATTAGTTCGAGAGACTGTAGTTATTATATTAGCAACTGGTAGTTGTTTGAACTGTCTGTGGTGAAGTCAGATTTGTATTGGGAATTTCCACGACAAGAGCAAGATGTGATACAGAAGCCAGAGACATCATAGAACATTAACTTGTAAAAGGCCACTTTTTGTGTTGTCTATTCCACACCCGTCTGTAACAATAATTCATCTTTTAATTATTAATTTGGTGCATTTAGAGTTTTTTTCTCAGCACTGATATATGGTTATTTGCAACTAATTATATAATTAATGAGCAAAGCATGTAATTATTTAGAGTAAAAAATAATTAATTGACAGTCCTAACTGTTACTCAATATATCATTATACATCATTAGAGTTTTTTTCTCAGCACTTATATATGGTTATTTGCAACTAATTATATAATTAATGAGCAAAGCATGTAATTATTTAGAGTAAAAAATAATTAATTGACAGTCCTAACTGTTACTCAATATATCATTATACATCAATATGTCACCACTCCATAGTAAGAGCATCACTACACATGATTTACAATTTACAATTTTTATAGATCTATTTTTAGATTTGTTATATAAAAAAATAATTCCCACCACAACATGAATAATCAAATCTGAGGAAGCTGTGTAATATATTGGCTGAATGCAAATCAAATCAGTGATGACAATTTAAATATGGCAAACTTTTGAAGCCAGAAATTTACCTGATGAAAGTTAAAACTGAAGCTGAAATTTGTGCTTGATGCATGAAAACAACCCTCATTGGTTCTCACACGTCAAAAGCACATTATTTGAGCTTCTATTTATCATATTTAATGTGCAAAAATGTCATCAGTACTTTTCAAGTTGAAATAAAATTGTACGGTGTAAAAAGTACTTTCTTCTTCAGAAATCTAATCAAGTAAAAGTACAAGTAGTGAGTTCAAATTGTACTTGAATTAAGTGTCCAATGAGAAAAGGTGTAATAATCAGGGGTGTGAAATGTATTTGAAAATTATACTCAAGTATAGATACTCAGTGAAAATTTTGTTAAATTTTACTCAAATTTTACTTAAAAGTGCAAGTATCTGGCCAAAAGCATACTTGAGTAAAAGTTTAAAAAAAGTACAACTTAAAATTTTACTTGAGTATTAAAAAAGTACAAGTACTCCAAATAGAAATAAATAAATAAAGGAGATTCTTATTTCACCATGTTGAGCCATCTTCTCAATGCAAAGTGAAACTGCTTAAAATTAAATAGCATAAAATGTTTTGTCAGACTGACATATAAAGGTTTGGTTAAAGTGAGAAACAAAACAAAACACATTTGTACAAGTCATCTAGTGCAACAACAACGATTAAAATGCAGCAAAGTGGAACACAAAAAATACAGCCCTTAAAGGGATACACCATCCTTTACACACTCATGCCATCCCACATGTGACTGAATGTCTTCAGATGAAGAGTTTTAGGGAAATAAAATCTGTCTGCATATAATACAAGTGTACAGGATGTCCAGAGATAATGCTTGAAAAACTACACAATTACACAGTGAAGACGAGGCAACTCAAACAAAACCTATTGATGAATCAATTTCTTCTTAAGTGAAATGATAGTGTGTGTAAGAAAACATACAAATACTAATATTTTAAACTTTACCATTGTGTTCACTTTGTGTGGTTTCTGAAGCGGTCCTGTACACTTGTATTATATGCACACACTAAAAGTCTTTGTTAGTGTTCATCTGAAGAAAGAAAGTCATAAACATCTGGGATGGCATGAAGGCGAGTAAAGCATAAAAGAGTTTTCAGTTTTGGATGGACTATTTCTATAAAAAGTGGCCTCAGAAGGATATGTTAAATATAGAATGTTTCTTTTTTAGTGAAGTGACATGTGGCCAAGTATGGTGACCCATACTCAGAATTAGTGCTCTGCATTTACCCATCCAAAGTGTGCACACACAGCAGTGAACACACACACACCGTGAACACACACCCGGAGCAGTGGGCAGCCATTTATGCTGCGGCGCCCGGGGAGCAGTTGGGGATTCGGTGCCTTGCTCAAGGGCACCTTGTTGTGGTATTGAAGGTCGGAGAGAGCGCTGTACATTCACTCCCCCCACCTACAATCCCTGCCGGTACAAGACTCGAACCCACAACCTTTGGGTTATGAGTCCGACTCTCTAACCATTAGGCCACGACTCCCCCAATGTTCAGGTTCATGATCAGATCAAAGATCATGTATCTATGATTAAAGAATCTATACTTACCCAAAAATGCGTAGAACTGTAGAACTAACAGTCATATGACAAACCAATGACCAGATCAGTATAACTAATTACAGTGAAGAAGACTTGAGAATTTAACTCTTTAACTCATCTACAAGGTATAAATGTACATGTATCTTTCTGTTCAGGAGTCTCTCTTGGTTGTTGTGACCAGTGGGCTCCCGGCCGTGAATAAACTTTTACTCCTGCAAAGAGCAACTTGGGAGTGGTGTCTGGTATATGCTGCACAGCTGAGGAATACAAGGCACCGCAAAGACAGAAGACTATAGAGCCGTTCTAGGGCTGAGGCTAATACTCTGAGTTAGTATTAAAGATCCTGTGTCGGACCAGTGTACAGCTGAGAAAGACGGTGAGAGTGTATAGTTGCTAAAGACCTGTGTGCTCATGTGTGATTGAGGTAGTGATCGTAGCTTCTTGACAGGATGCTGTCACAATACTTCAGGGAAGTACTGTATTGTAAGTATTCGGGGAATTCAGGGATTAGTTCGAGAGACTGTAGTTATTATATTAGCAACTGGTAGTTGTTTGAACTGTCTGTGGTGAAGTCAGATTTGTATTGGGAATTTCCACGACAAGAGCAAGATGTGATACAGAAGCCAGAGACATCATAGAACATTAACTTGTAAAAGGCCACTTTTTGTGTTGTCTATTCCACACCCGTCTGTAACAATAATTCATCTTTTAATTATTAATTTGGTGCATTTAGAGTTTTTTTCTCAGCACTGATATATGGTTATTTGCAACTAATTATATAATTAATGAGCAAAGCATGTAATTATTTAGAGTAAAAAATAATTAATTGACAGTCCTAACTGTTACTCAATATATCATTATACATCAATATGTCACCACTGGATCCACTCCATAGTAAGAGCATCACTACACATGATTTACAATTTACAATTTTTATAGATCTATTTTTAGATTTGTTATATAAAAAAATCATTCCCACCACAACATGAATAATCAAATCTGAGGAAGCTGTGTAATATATTGGCTGAATGCAAATCAAATCAGTGATGACAATTTAAATATGGCAAACTTTTGAAGCCAGAAATTTACCTGATGAAAGTTAAAACTGAAGCTGAAATTTGTGCTTGATGCATGAAAACAACCCTCATTGGTTCTCACACGTCAAAAGCACATTATTTGAGCTTCTATTTATCATATTTAATGTGCAAAAATGTCATCAGTACTTTTCAAGTTGAAATAAAATTGTACGGTGTAAAAAGTACTTTCTTCTTCAGAAATCTAATCAAGTAAAAGTACAAGTAGTGAGTTCAAATTGTACTTGAATTAAGTACAGATACCCCAAAAATTATAGCTACTTAAGTACAGCAATCAAGTATTTTACACCCCTGGTAATAATAATGATAATAGGCTAATAATAACAATTAAAAACAAAATTTCATTCGGACTTAATAGTTCCTTTTGGCTAGCTGAAATGTAGGTTATATAAATGCACTGTAAATATACATGGAATCCTTGACGAGACGCACCCCTATGTTTAGTGTTTTCATGTGTTTTGGATGGATTCGTAAATTGTCTTTACCTTAGATATGTAGATACATATATACATATTACCTGCAGTAGAGTCATTCTCAGGCACGATGTGGCGTTTTCTCAACCGCAGTTGTTTTAATCCTATATTAATCGTATGTTCACTTCTTCCGGTGTTCCTTTTTGGGCCTCAGTTTTTAGGCAACTAAATAAAAGTTATGACTCAAGCAATTTACTAGTTACTAGTCTAAGCAATTTACTCATTATTCTAGAAAAATCTAGGGGGGGAAATGCATAAATTTAATGGAGGTGGTGCCCAGTGCGAAACTGGCTTTGTAAATTTGCGCCCACAAAGTCGAGATGGTCACCTAATGGGACTGATTATTAATCATATTAATCAATCTGTTGTTTTCTTTTTCCTCCATAACATCACAAAAAGAATGAGTGAACATTAAAATGTTGTGCTGATGTTGATATTCACACAGTAATTCCTATACTTCACAGCTGATGTATGTAGACATGATGAATATTCACTTGAGTCATAAATTAATGATTACTTTTAATTTGTTTAGTGTAACAGCCATTACACTTTCCAGAACTTTCTACATCCATTAGCTAACACAGACTGTCAGTTGTTGGGTTTGTTGGTTTTTGACTATGCTTTTACTGTTGATGCAAACACATTAACTTAAAAACCACACTACATTTCAGTGTACATTCCAGATGAGAACTGATGAGCATGCAAACAAGTAAGGGTTGTGACATGTTGAGTTGCTGTTTTCATGACATGATGAATATTCACTTGAGTCATAAATTAATGATTACTTTTAATTTGTTTAATTTGTTTTAAAATGTAGATTTTTTTTATGTTACAACAAACGTGTACAATTAATAATGTTTGTGAAACAAAATACTGTATAAAATAAATGGTGAGCTCAGAACAAACTCAAAAAATATGCATACAAGATAAATACAAATGTAAAAAAGATTTTTACATTTAAGAGGTTTTTTTCATAACTTGTTATTCAAATGCAAATACATATAGAGCAAGCTCAATAACTGTGTCAAAGATACAGTTTCTGTTGTGTTTGGCAAGCAGCACTGTAAAAATATCTCTGTACAAGCAGGTAAACACAGTGATCTGAACAAGGACAAGACAACATAAAATACACACTATTTTAAAGGAACAGATCACCCATGCGTTGTTCCAAAAGTCTCTTCCACGCAACTGCACTGAATAGGAAAATTAAGCATAAAACCTTAAGAAAGAACAAAAAAAGCAACCAGCAGTATCATAAAAATTGGCTGATCAATGAATGAAACATTCAAATCTATTTGTGAATTGGATTAGCTGATTCACTGAAAAGATCTAGCTCAAAAGAATGATTCGTTGATGAAACAGACATTGCTACTTCTTTCACAAATGAGCCAAGGAGAGCTAAGGTGCAGACTATAGTGTTGTGACGTGTAGCCAAGTATGGTGTCCCATATTCGGAATTTAGGCTCTGCATTTAAACCTTCCAAGTGCACACACACAGCAGTGAATAGTGAACACACACCCGGAGCAGTGGGCAACCATTTTTGCTGCGGTGCCCGGGGAGTAGTTGGGGGTTCGGAGACTTGCTCAAGGGTCTTTTTGCTAAAAAGAATATTTGTCAAAATCTGTCCTTTTATATTCCACAGAAGAAAAAGTCCTATGGGTTTGGAACAACACGATGGTGAGTAAATGATGACAGCATTTTCATTTCCGGGCAAACTATTCCATTAAGTTCAACACTACCAAAGGTATGTACACAAGCATTTATGAAAGTCTTGACAAACTAAAACAAAACTTAACGATCTTATGCTGTAATATGTAGTGTATCAGGATTTCATCAGGTACACCACAATGATGAAAGTGAAATAGTGTTTTCTTCCACTCCCCTTTTAATGTGTCTGTTAGTCTGAGCCAGACTCTTCAGAGCTAGGCGGTGTACTGACCACTTCCTCTTCATCATCAGACCCCTGTATAAAAAATAACAGGAACAGAGAATAACAGGAAGACAATGAATACATTTTCATCATCAAAAAGAAAAGATAAAAACATTTTTTTTTTAAAGTGTCTTAAGTAGTCGCAAAAAAAAAAAAAAATTACACACAAATATGTGTTTCATATTAAGGCTATAAAACTAAAACTTGTTTTAATTATTAAAGAACAATCTAAATTTGGAATATTTTTGAATCTAAATGTGAACTAATTCATTTTATTTTATTACATTTATTAAACTGCTCTTTTTTAAATTCCTGTTGAGGTAAATCTCGAAAGAATTCATTAGTTGTGTACCTAAATTTGGATAGAATTTCACATTATGCTTTATTTTACATTCGATATAGTAAGATATAGGCAACATGTGACAGACAAAAAAAATGACTGCTTATTAAGCTGCGGTCATACTAGACTTTGAGCATACAAAATGTCTTTGCACATTGCATCAGTTGTGATATGAATTTGCAGGTTAGAGTTCACCAAACTTGAACTTGGGAACGCAGAGAAATGCGAATCTTCTTTGCCTGAGAATGCATTCCCCATCCCACATTCACATACATATGAATGAACGTCAATGGAATGAAAAGTGACCACCCCTACTGAACATGAGGACTGCTGAGAAGGCGATTGGTGCAAAAACAAAAAAACAAAATTTCTGTTATTCGGGCAATACATAAATTATGACAGTCTACAGCCACCTATAAATTTACCCACCAGTGAAGATACTATGGAAAACACTGTTACTGTAACTAAGTTGATGAATGAAACAGTTTCTATTCCATAAACACATCTGTTATGCGTGTTTTAGTGTGTTACCTTGCGCTTCCTTCCCTTGCCTTTGTCTGACTCTGACGAGCTCTCCTCGCTGGATATGAACTCTCGACTCTTAAAGCTGTCGTTGCCTGTAGCTCGCTCTTTCTCTTTTTCCCTACCACCACCTGACTTCCTTTTCTTCTTTTCTTCATTCTTCCCTCCTTTCTTTTTCCTCTCCCTACAGGAATGAAATGTGGGGAAAACAGTGAGAAATAGCCAGTTACTTAATGCTAAGATCATATTTTGGAACAATGTGATAGTCAGTAAATGACAGAATATTTATTTTTGGCTGAACTGTCCATTCAAAGTGAGGTGCAGGACAAAGTTGTGAACATTTAGAGTACTTTTTTGAGCTGCCTGAGGATCCTCCACCACTCTCCTTGTACTCTCTCATCGCTCGATCATACTCTTTCTTTGCTTCTTCTGCTTTTGCATCCCACACCTGGTGGAAAAACAAGGTGTCAGTTCAAGTTCAAATTGAAACAGAAGGAGAAACAAACTGAAGCATTTAACATTGTTTAAAGTCCAGTATGTCACCTCTTTCTTCTCTTTGCTAAGTTGTTTCCACATTTCCCCAGCCTTTTTGGAGATTTCTGTGACAGAGATGCCCGGGTTCTCTGATTTAATGCGGTCTCTGCTAGAGTTCAGCCAGAGCATGTAGGCACTCATTGGCCTCTTGGGGGCGCTGCTGTCCTTTGCCTTTTTCTACACACAAGAACACAAAAAGTTGCATTGAATTTGAGAGTATAAAAACATACAGAGTAAAAAAAACGAATACCGTCCAGCAACAGCATCTACTTAAAATAAATGTACATAACCAGTGTACAAACTCTGTCACCCATGTTTTATCCTTCCCTCTTCTCTCTTTCTCACCTCTTTCTTTCTTGGTTTTCTTTCTTTTACAAATTTAGCTTTCTTGGTTGGTTTCTTCTTCCGATCGCCATCACTGTCCCCGTCATCAGCGCTGCTTTCACTGGCAGAGGCCTTACTGTCATACCTAACACACAAATATGACAATGATTTATCACCCTTATTTTGTTCAGGTATGAGAAATAGTAATAATAACGTTTGCCTTTGCTAGCACCACTAATTAAAACTGTGTCATATCAACACAAAGCCTCTTACTCCTCTGCGATTTCATCATCTTCTTCTCCAGGATTAAAAGACTCATCTAAAAAAAAAAAGTCAAATGTTAATTTCTCACACAAAACACATTCCCATCAGTTATAATTTATGACATTTAAGCACCTGCACCAACGGGGGGGGGGGGGGGGGGGGGGGGGTCACAATAGGAGTAATTTTATTTCACAATAACAATATATATCACAATATAGTTATTTTTGCTGGAAATAAGATTGTTACAATACCAACATTTTAGATTCCACTGATACTGCACAATTCTTAACACTAATTTTGATATCACAGCAAAAACCAATACTAATCTAATTGACATAAGTAAAAAGTTCTCAAGCTTATAGAAGAATAGTAAATAGTCATCAAAACATTGGGAAGGCTTAAAGACGTCTTAAAATGGCAAGGCTTAAAAACACAACTTATGTGATGGTGCAGCAATACAAAATGACATGAACGCGTAACTGAGACAACAAAATCAAATGAACAAAATCTCTACAGGTTGACAGATTCCTATAGGTTTATTGTGTCTACATCTTGAGGGCTACATTGGGATATAGAATGCAACTGGCATATAGAATGCAAAATATTTTAAATACAAGCATTTCAGTCAAATGTAATTTATGCAATATTTCAAACCTTTAATGCACAGGGAAAATCAACTCACGGCAACAGTTTAAAAGTAGCCCAATTCCGTGGAAAAAAATGCGGACTTCACAACCCTGCATCCAACATGAGCTGCAGGAGTCAGATTTCACTGATCACAGGTCGAGAGTAAGGAGAGATGACTGACAAGACCATTCTCTAGGATTTGCTGCTCAACAGATCCTGAGTTCATTGACAAATATCTTAACTTGTAAGATGTGCTCCTTTTACGCAGAGTACGCGTGATCACAAAATCCAAAGTGACAGTGAACAAGCGAGCACTCAGAGAGTTGCCACTCACCACTTTCGCCCTCTGAGTCGTCACTGTCATTGGCCTCTTCACGGATCTTGCCCTCTTCTTTCATGCGCTCCAGGTATGCATCATGCTGGTCGTCATCTGAGTCACTGTACATGTTATCATTACGTTTCATGCCCTGACAGAGTACAAATTAAAATGATATCAATGCAATATCAAAATGTCATTGCAAAGTTAGTATTTGTAACAAAGCAGACAGAGGAAAGCCCTCTCCAAGCAAAAGATTTCAAACCCACTCATTTTCTCATACTCACCAGCCTCGCTCTCTCTCACACACACACACATTCATATAAGCAATCAGTGTTAACTCATTCAAAAGCACTCCCTTGAGCAACGCTGTCTTCATAGCACACAGAATTATCTAGCATACAAAAGGTTTTCTCATACAATGACCACAAAATTATAATCAGATTTCAGACAAAATACTGTTGTGGTCCTAATGAAAGTCTGTGTGATCTGAACACAGCGTTAAGCTGGTCAAATCATAACCAGCAGTGAGCCACCTTTTTCCACCTTTTGGTGGATGAGACATCTGCTTTAAGCCATCAAAGATAAAAGAGAACACATTTGACACTCGGGATGTGATTGAGACACGCAAACAAACATCATGCAAGCAAGTTATAGGAGCACCGACACCAGACCAAACTGCAGGGCAATACCAACCTTTTTCTACATGAGTACAATACAGACATACACCACAAACACAAAGAGTAGAATAAGTGTCCGTCCACTGTGTGAGGGGTCTATGAACATGTCTAAGTGGATGAATATTATGTACTGCTTGATAGGAAGCAATATGGGCTGTAGACATACCTCTTTGAAGCCTCTGTTCTTGATGCTTAACTTCTTAGCATTGACGAAGTCAAAGAGCTTCCCATATTCCTCCCTGAAAAAGATGGTAGAGGCAGATTAAACATATAGAACAAACAGAGGATGAAGACTATTTTAGAGAGTTAAAGCCTGTTCACACCAAGTACAAAAACTATATTAGCGTCCAAACCAAGGGACAATAAAGGTCTGATGATTGTAAGTGTGTGCTGTGGTTTTGTCGTCTTAAACACTTGAGCTCTTTAAAGTTAGGTGGATTCTGATTGGCTGTCAATGTTTTCATTCATAAGCTGGAAAAAAATAGTTTGGAAAGTGATTCAATCGGTATCGTTCCTCTGTGTTGTTATCATTACAGCTGTGGTGTGGACATCCCTATTAAATGTTTGAATTGAATAACTATCTTTAGTATGTTATAGGGAAATTTTGAATGTTTTAGTGAGTCATGTTTTTCTATAGTAGTTAATTGTGTTGAGTTTTAGGTATGAAACACAGTACGATTACAATGAGAAATGTGCTTGAACAATGAGACTTGTGTGTAGCATTTTTACAAAAAGAACGTAACAGAATGTAGTGCAAGAGTGTGTTAAATTTCCCACAAAAAATGACCTTTCTGTCATTTACGCACCCTCGTGTCTTTCCAAACCCTGATGCCTTGATGTATTGATTCAGTCATAATGTGTGTCAAACTGAAAATACTGTAATGTGTATAAAGTAGCTTTGACTTTTTTCCTTTAACATCTAATGTAGAAGGGGTCAGGTCACTAAAAGAGAGGGGCTCTTTTGCTCCAGTATAAGACATAAACAAATAGAATCACCACAAAGAGGAAGCACAGACTTTCTATGGCAGATGGGGTTAAGTGCTCAAGAACATAATGGCAGGAAGTGCCTTAAAGAAGATATGGACACTGGCCTTCTCATTATTGGTGTGGTCTAGTTCCCACAAAGCTTATGTTCTCGACAATTGGACAAGACAAACATTGGTCTCATGGGTACCTCTCGATGCTGCTGAAGGTGTATTGATTTCCCTGCTTGGTCTCAATCTCGAAATCAAAGGAGCGGGTGGTGGTGGTACCACGAGCAAAGTTCACGCAGGAGATCTCCTCAAAGCGCAGGTGCACTGGGGGCTTGTGCACATAGATGAAACCTCTTTCCAGAGGATACAACAGCCCTGAACTGGCCTTATATGAACATGTTATACACTGAGCACCTGAGTGACTATAGAGAAGAGAGGGAGCGAAAAAGACATTGAGGTGTTTTCACAAAAATACAGACTTCACTGAATTTGTAAAGATATTAATTTTTGTTCTACTACTTAATCCCAGAATATATATTAATGTCTGAAACTTTTTTAAAGGATTTCATACTTTTACAAGGATGCATCAAATCGATCAAATGTGAAAGCAAAGACATTTACATTGTTACAAAAAAAATCGATTTCAAATAAATGATGCCTTTCTATTCATCAAAGAATCCTGAAACAATATATATATTAAGCAGCACAACTCTTTTGAAAATTGAGAATAATGAGAAATGTTTCTTGCGCATGAAAGCAGCATATTAGAATGATTTCTGAAGGATTATGCGACACTGAAGACTGCTGAAAATTCAGCTTTGCCATCACAGGAATAAATGACATTTTAAAACATATTCAAATTTAAAAAACTGAAACATTAAATATAACTGACCACAAACTTTTGAACAGTAGTGTATATGAATCGTTTTTTTAAATTACTGTTAAAAAATAAATCAGTAAGATTTGCTGCAATGGAAGTGTATAAGACATTTTGATGTATATTTTATTATATTTATGTATTTTTATACTCTTTAATGTTTAAAAACATAATATTAACAATATGTAAAAGTATAAAGTATATTGTTTAGTTTAATTGTTATTTAGTATTTTATACTTGTCACAAAATATTTTTGCAATTGTTGTTGAGACTTTTCTTTTCCCGTCTTTTACCGCAACTTTTTTTTGCAATGTATATATGTTTTACCCTTGGAAATTTCCAGGCACTGTGATCTTCCTATTGACCAGGGCCTTCATGACTCTGCTGACCATCTCATAGAGAGAGCCAGACATGTTTTTATGAAGTTTCCCTTCAAAACGTCTCTCCACCTCATCCCTGCAGAATATAAGAGAGAAAAATGGTATTGCTGGATGGCAACACACTTTGAGGAATGAGTGTAAATGATGGCATAACTTTTATTTTTGAGTAACAATTTTGATTGTCCCTGTAATAAGTATACTGAGAGTTGCTTAGGATAGATGCATCTGCTAAATAATTTCTTGCTCTAAATTAGTTTCATAAACCTTGCTGAAGTGAAAGAAAGAGCTTCAGGGAGAGTCTTTTTTGGGGTGACATATAGTAACACTTCACAGAATATAGCTTAACATAACTGCACCTACAAAATTCGTTTTTGGTATCTGCTTTTAGTCTTGGCAGCAAATGTAAACAGTTTATTTCTGACATCCATCTCATCCTTCACCGGAGTCCCTCATTCTCGGTCTCTCTCACTTTAACTCACTCGTTCATATTGAGAGTGAGGCTGATTTCCTCTTCCTTGGAAAACAGAAGAATGAGAAAATGATAGCGGGTTTGACCTTGTTTAATGGGCGGGTCCAGACTGATCTGAAACAGACAAGAGGTCACAAATATTAACATTAACATAGACATCTTATATCAGCACAATTCTCAAATTTAGTACACATCAAAAACAGATCAATGGAATAGACAAAGCCCATTAATACTAGCCCTAAAGATGGATCCAGATAAAAAGAAGAGATAGTTTCACAGACTATGATGCCATACTCACCACAAAGAACATCTGCCGCTGGTCCTTATGAGGCAACAGGAAAAGGCGGAGCACTGTGGTGTATGGGATCTTGTAGTCAAAAGTCTTACCATGCAGATGGAGGAAAGTCGGATAAATACGAATATCGTACCTACAGAGAGCAAAAACCATTAAACGTGGCTAGTTCACACAATATTCTAAGCATAAAACAAAAAGGTGTGATGTTATGTGTTTGTATGTGTACCTGCCCCTAGGTGTGAGGCACTGTAACTCTCTGAAGATACACACAGCATCTCCTGTAGCCTGGATGACATCTGCCTTTGACAGAATGTTCTGAGCAAATGCCTAAAACAGCAGAGAACAGTACTGTGAGCTCATTATTTTTCAGTTCTAGTGGACTTTACGGATGCAAAGATTTTACTTTAGGGCTCGAACTGGTGTCTGTGCAAAAGTTTAGAGAAAAACTGCATAAAAAATAAATAGAAAAATAAGATTAAACTGAACAAGCAAATAAAAAGTTGATTAAAATAATATTATAAATAAATAATGAATAAAGATTTAAATAAATGATACATCTAACGGTGCAGTACTATAAAAAGCAACGTGACAAAAAATAAAGTATTTTCTAAATAATATTTTACTTTATTTTTCTAATTAAATGAAGTTAAATTGGGTTTTTACATTAAATTGTATAGCTTAATTCAGGATGGGTGTCCCTTGCATGAGGATGATCATATTTGGGGACATCTAAAAGATTGAAAGCCCATGCTTTATATGCATGTAATTATTATTACTTTGCAAACTGTGCCATCTGTTGGTCACTGTGAGGTAGTGGCGCACACACAAGCATGCACACTTACCTCCACAGGGTCTGAACCCTCGTCTCCCGTGGTGGGTGGGACGTAGAAGCGCACCTCCATGAGGGATACCTCTGTGTCATCATTCTGATGAAACTCCATAGTGACCTCATTCTTTCCCGTGGCACACTGGGATACACTGGCGAGCGGAATCTCAAATGCAGAACTTTCATTCACCTCAAATGAAAGCAACGGCCCTGAAAAGCCACAGAAGGGCAAAACTTGGATATGGCAATGAAAATACATTTTCAGGCTAAGTTTATCAAAATGCAAAGCTGGTTAGTTATTAACAGTCTCCTATTGTTTCTATTAACTATTATGCATTGATTTATTATTTCTAGTGGTCGACCAATATAGTTTATTAATGGCAGATGGCGATGTGCGCTCAGTAATCTTGTAAATCTGTGTGCACTGGGAATCTTTTTTTTTTTCTTTTTTTTTTTAATAAAAACCAGGTTGTTCTAACTTTACATACAGTACACCGTAAATATGACATAGTACAGTGATGTTGATCATTTAAAAATGCCAAATACTGGCAGATACATAGCGATATATCGCTCAACCACTATTTCTATTATTACTTATACAGTGTCACAAGTCCTCTTCTAATACTGTACTATTCATCCTACAGAGCATAGAAACTTAAAATAAGGGCACTATAAAAAAAATTTTTTTGTACATGTCTCAGAAATGGTGTTGCATCAGGAATGCACTGACCATTAAATTTAGCAGTGCCCCAATTCCAGCCCTTCACACACATATCTTTCTCAATCAGGTCCACTTTGTAGTTGGCTTTGAAGTACTCTGAGATCTTCTCAAGGTCCTGTGCATAAAGAGATGATGGAAAATTTAAGACATGGAACGTGGAGCAAATTGATCTATTTTTATTGAATGTATTTCGTATCTCTGACGCACAGTGTCTTTGAAGCCATCATATTTGTAGATGTTTCCAGTGCTGGTGCACAGTTTGATGCCGTGACCCAGACAGACTCTCCTCCACTGGGCTTGAGTGAGTTCGGGCACCGGAATGCTGTCCACCTTCCCAGTCTTACTGTTTTTATACACCACTGTCTGCTTACTGAAGCGAAGACGCCCATCATTCTGTAGAGAGAGATCAGTCAGACATTTTCTAGAATAACATCTCAAAATAGACACCAGACTGTTGCAGCGTGTACTCACCCAGGTGCCCTTAACCTCCTGATAAATTTCATTGAATTCCAGAGTGTCATTCATGTCAGCCACTCCAGCTTAGACAAGAGTGGACCTGTGACGTTCAAAAGCTGCGACAGCAGAGGTAAAATCATAAATATACATTATACAGTATTCAAATAGATTTTTGTTTTCTCTACATGTGGCATTGTGAATTCGGTTACATTTCAAGAGAATTGATAGAAATCTCCTAATTGGCATTGAGGCGGCACACTTTATTGCAGGGAAATATGTCATCATATTCCTAAACTGTGCAAATTATTTAAAGGAGCGTTTAAAAAAAATGCACCAGTGATGCAGCAGCATTTATAACAATGTAATGACTTATCAGAGCCTGAGCCTCCACAACTGAGTGAAAGAGAAAAAGATCTTCAAGAACTGAAGAAATTTGATCTGGACTGGAAATTCGGACCATGCACAGGTGGGTCATTAATTGTGTACGTTTATGTCTGTATTGTTGTGTGGTTTCTGTAGTCTGTAAAATAATGAAACCCTGAAAATTATCATCTGCATCACATCCAGGTCTTGACATTTTTTAAGATAAAAAAATATTATATTTAATAGTGTGTTTTTGTGTGTGTGTGTGCGCGTGTGTTAGGGATCAGTCGACTGCAGAGGGGAGAGGGCAGCACTGCATGGGCTGAATCCCCCGCAGAGGATTAAAGACATTTTTCTAAAGGAGAGCGCTGAAAGTTGATGTATTTCCTCAGCGACCAGCACGGATCAGCTCCAGGCATGACGAAGCGGATATCGTCCTCTTTTGGAAGGCCAAACAAAGTAGTTTCGCTTTCACAACGAAACACACAGCGCCTTCACGACATGGCGGCGGCGGCAACAATACTACAGCGAGAATAAAAGTTACGCCGCCTTTCTTTGAGTGAACATTTGGGCGGCGTTATGCAAATCTTCCCACATAGTGACGTAGACATATGGGGGCGTGTTAGAAAGAGCCGTTTTAGGAGGGTGTGTTTGACTCTTAACTTTTATAAAGAATATCTCTTTGGATTTGAGACTTTAGTCTTTCCAACTTTACAGATCTTCTTTATGCACCAAGAGCTTGTAACACTCCAAAGAGAAAGGAAAAATTGAAATTGCATCATATGACCTTATGATTCTAATCCTTATTTGTATATTCTGTCACTTTGACTATTCTGTCGTTTTACATTTTATAAGTACTGTGTAAGCGTAAACCACAAAGTGAAAGTTAAAAGGCCTGTTTTTGAACAACATGTACAAATAAGCTATCATCTGCGAACATTTTAGCAGCATTCAGGTATTTACTGAGTTGGAGGCATTGTTGTTAAACCAATCGATTAATAACGACCACCTTTACTGGTGATTTTAATACTATTTATTTGGAATTGAAAATGGACATGCTACACAAAAATGCACCATTTTATTCTATATTATATTACTACATATGTCCACTTGTTTGTGTAATGCTCAGAGAGCATGTTTTATGGCTAAAGATCCCCTGTGCTGTGTGCTGCAATATTTCCTAATTAACAAAATTAATTTTAAAAAATCCACTTTGATTTCACTTCACTGATACACAATATCGACCACTCAATAGACAATTGCAATTTAAGCTTTCTTTTGCACTTATAGCTGTTAAAATAGCTTTTACAGTAAGGCATATGTATATGTAACATATAACGTTACAGGAATTACAGCAGCCCCTCTCGAGAATGATATTAATTAGGGGCAGATAATTATGGCAACAACTGAAATAGGTCAGATCCCTTTCCACCCCATCAACCTGCATGTTTGACTGGAATTCATTATAATATCTTTACGTCGACGTGAATTATGGTTTTGAACAAATTTGCTAGTTCAGCATATTGACCTCGAACACTTATGGCCGTCATTAGCTGCAATAGACCTCCCTTGAGTGACAGATGGATGCGGGGGAGGGGCTGGATTATTGACCCAAATGACGTTGTCCCGCCTCTTTGGTCAGAGTTGTTTCTCATTGGTTCACAACAGCGTCACTTAACATTCACGTAGCCTGAGTGGTTTATGTAAATGTTATTTATAACGTATACTGTCGCACGCATCGGTCACTGGTTAAACAGAGGGGCACAGTGCGGTTGGAAGCCCCGCCCTCCTGCAGCAAGAACGAGTAGGCGGGATTATCAGAGGAGGAATAAAGATGATTTGTCCAGTCCATCCGTCAGGATGATGTTTTGGTTGCTCATTGGCTGCAGCTCTGCCCATCGACGCTGCGACTAAATCACCTACGGTTATAATGTCGCCCAGTGACCTAGTATTAAATAAAGCGACGGTTATGTAGCGGCGGATTATAGCATCGTCTTGGACATTTTGAATACTACCTGTACATTCAGGAAGACTTGACAGCGTCGAAAATCTACTAAAAAGGCAATCATTCATCCCGCAGCGATTTTGTTTTTGTAACGTTATAATTTTCCGGATCATGCTGAAATCAGAAGGAAAACGCATATAGCAGAAAATCATCGTTTGCCTTGAGCAGCGCTGCAGTGCGATCACGCCGCCTCTCTGTCCTGGTGGATTTCAGCAGCACATCGATCTACAATACCACACCGCATTGGGTTATAACTGGGATATTCTCTCTTGTCGCGGTTTAGCATAAAGGTTTGGTAGAGCGGAAGCTGTTGGTTTGCAGAGGACTGGATTACAGTTACACTGGTGAGTAAGGTGTTGTCGGCTTCGTGCTGTGTCTGATAATACAGTAGATTGGGAGGGATGTCGATCACAGTGCCTGCAGGATCAGTCAGTTAGAGGGAATCTGATCAGCAGTGTGTGCTCGTATTTTGCTCAGTCAGCTGAAAGCCAAACTTGAGAGAAGGATAAACAATTCACAGCTTGTAATGAGTCGCTATTATTTACATTTGCATCGTCATTTTACTTTTAGTAAAACATTTAGTCTTGGATATTTATGTGTGGAATTTATAGTGTTAAATATTATCTTGAATGGTTTTATTCAAAAAGTCACCATAATAACTGAACCTGCAGGTACAGTAACAGGTGCGCAGTAGTTTCGCGTCTTAATAGAGTCACATGATAATATGATATCCTGGGTCTATTATTCAGGCAGGTAGACACAGAGCACGTGCAGGTGTTTAAGTGTCTTTACGTTTACGTTAGGATAATTTTATTTATGTTAATATTGAAACTTCCCTGTAGTTAGAGAGAGAGTCTCTTTTGAAAATTAAATATATAATCCAGATAAAAATGAAAATTCTGTCATTACTTATTTCTCATGTTGGTCCAAACCTGAAGATGTTAGAACTGAGAGACTTAGTCACCATTCGCTTTCATTGTTTCTTTTGTTCATACAGTCAACGTGGATGGTGACTGCGACTGTCATTTGTGATTTTTACCTGAGAAAGTAGTCATATTTTCCCTTAAAGATACATTCTTCTCTTGCAGGGATGGACAATGCCCATACTAAGACGGTTGAGGAGGTGCTGGGATATTTCGGTGTCAATGAGACAACGGGACTGAGCTCTGAGCAATTAAGGAAGAGCAGAGAAAGATGGGGCCCCAATGGTACTACATCATTTGTAAAAAAAAATACAATATGTTTTGTACAATATGAACAATAAATAATGTCATAATGAGATTTCATTAACTTTCAAAGCTTTAACTTTTTTCCTCTGCCCATTTTTCTTTTCTTAAGGAAGAGCAGAGAAAGATGGGGCCCCAATGGTACTACATCATTTGTAAAAAAAAAATACAATATGTTTTGTACAATATGAACAATAAATAATGTCATAATGAGATTTCATTAACTTTCAAAGCTTTAACTTTTTTCCTCTGCCCATTTTTCTTTTATTTTGCTATAACCTGTGCCACAGAGTTACCTGCTGAAGAAGGTGAGCTGCTCCCTTGGGTTTGTGTAATTATTAGCAGATCTTTCATCATATACTCTAAGCTAAAAGTCTCTCTGCGCTTACCTTTGTTGCATGGGAGATGCTGGTTGTGTAGATAATTAGTTATTATTGGATTCCCTTGAGGAGGCTGGATGAGGTTTGCATTCTGTTTGTAGCTGAATAGATCTTGATCGAATGTTTCTCAAAGATGTATTTGTAAAGGTTTTTTAAATTGTTTATATGTTCCAGGTTTTAATGTTCTGAAAGTTATTTTTCACTTGATGGAAAGTCATCTTTGTCAAACTTTGTGACCACTGTAGGTCTTTATAATCTTTGTTGTGTTTACAGGCAAATCACTATGGGAACTTGTTCTGGAGCAGTTTGAGGATCTGCTAGTTCGGATTCTCCTCCTTGCCGCCTGTATTTCCTTTGTAAGTATAAATCAAAGACTGTGTTTACTCTCACACTGTTAAGCAAGATTAGCACTAGCACAGAACAATAGCACAAGCTTTTCACATTCATAGATGCCAAATATAGATGCATCAGTTCTACAAAACTCTAGCAATCTTCATCCATTTACAAATATTATCGATCTATCTAGATAGATAGATTAATTGGGTACAATTAGTTATGGAAAAAATAACATTTTAAAATGATTAATGTATTTAACACACCTTGGCCTGGACTAGAGCTGTACTTGATTTTACATTGCATGCAGCAGTTGTTGACGAACAAGATGCAGGACAATGACTGTTACATGCCCCTAAAATTCAAGATATGGTATAATTGTCTTCTATTTATATCATATGATATAGTTAAGCATATCACATGAGCAAGAGTGTTTTTTTTTATATATAATATAATATTGATTTTAGTGAACAGTTCAATAAACAATAAGTTAATATTGCGTTACATTTTAGACAGAATATCGTCAGTAGCATGTGTTTTTGCTCAATTTTGCCAACAAAAATAAAATAGTTCCAAAGCATGCCACAACACACTGCCTCCGAGCAACACAGAGGTGTTTCATTAAGGAATGAATGTACATTTTGAACAAACTGAGTGAGCTGATGATTCAGTGAGCCATTCATAAAGACGGTCACTTGCTTTATTTCTGAATGAATCAGTCATTTGAATGAATTGGTTGAATGAATCATTAAATGACTCCCTTGACCTGACTTGCTGCCGCCTATTGGCAGTTTGTTTCATATTTAGACTATCATTTTATTAAA